TGGCCTATTCTGTACACAATTTTGTTGTATAAGTATTTATGAATAGACTTCTGTCTCTTGGATAAAAATATACAGGAGTGGACCAGCAAGATAGCTCAGTGGACTAAGCACTGGCCTGCACACGCACAGGGACCAGTGTTCGAGTCCCAGTCCCACATGCCATGCCAGCCCCACCCCAAGGGTGCGCTGAGCCAGCAACAGAGTCGGGGTGTGGTGATGCACACTGTAATCCCAGGGCTGGGGAGGCTGAAAGCAGGAGGATCCCCACAAGTCCAGGCTGCGTAGCACGACCCTGTACCAAGTACATAAATGGGGTGCTATTGCTGGGTCATGGGATATATGTCCGTCAAACCATTTTCTGAAATGGCCATACCCTCTGGTACCACTATCAGCAGTATAGGAGCATGCTAGATGTGCTGCGCACTTGGCAGCGCTTGGTTTGGTCTGTCTTTTTAGTGTTTGCCATACTAATCAATTTTTAGTGGTATCTGACAGCGCTTCTAACTATATTTTCCAAATAAGTAAACATTTTGTATGCTTTTTTGTCATACATGCATTATATCCTTTGTAGTGATGGGCCTGTTCAAGTCTTTGGCCCATTTAAAAAAATAATTTTAGTTTGAAGTGATTTTATTTTATTTGTTTATTTGTATTTTAGGAAAGGGGGCCTACAGGGTGTTCAGAGTCTCACTACTAGATTGGACTTGTAGTGATTCTCCTGTTGACAGCCTCCCAAGAGCTGGGATTCCAGGCGCGCGCCATCACGCGCAGTCTCCATTGCTTTCTCAGCGTGCCCTGGCGGCGGGCCGGCATGGCAGGCCCGGGGGTCGAATCCCCAGCCCCTGCGCCTGCTCGCAGGTGCTTGATGAAGTGATTTTATAAAGTGGTCACAAAGGCGCTTCAGAGAGTTCCAGGATACCCCTCGTACAGTTTCCCAGAGGGCTAGCATTTTACAAAACTGAAACCAAGGACATTTATTAAACTTGGGAAACTAACGTCACTGCCGCTCCGGATTCCCCAATAGTTCCCTTCTGTTCCAAGCCCAGCCCAGGATTCCAGGCTGCATTTGTCTCGTCACCTTACTGTGCCACTTTTCAGCCTTTCCTTGTTTTTCATCACCTTGATAGTTTTGAGTCCTAATCAGATATTTTGTAAAATGTCTCACTTTGCATTTGTGACATTTTCTTGTGGCTAGGCTGAGGACAGATGTTAGGGAATAAAGTCAAAAAGAAGCGCTCTTATCTCTTGGATAAGGTGTGTGTTTCCTGGTTCTCTGCTGCAAGCTGCATATTTTTGTCGTACTGCCCTCGGAAATGAGTTGCTGTTTGGTTCTGAACTTTGGAAATAAGTTGCTAAGTTCAGTTCACACTCAAAGGGATAGAAAGATTAAACTTCACGTTACGGAAGCGTATATGCTTGTGAGAGGAAATGTATAACACACATGTATAATTTTTTATGTTCTTTATAACCCATATAAGTAGTCCCCAGTTTGTGATGACACTAATGATTTTTCCACTTTATGGTGGTGTGAAAACAAGACTTATCCCCCCACTTTTAGCGTTTAACAAATAAAATGTGATTTACTACTTTTTAGCTTATGGATGTTGTTGTAGCGCAGTAATTCTTTGTCTAGTTTCAGGTCACAAAGCTTTTGTCCTCAGTTTTTGTAGGAGCTTTGTAGCTTTTTTTTTTAGTATTTAGGTTTAGAACCCATTTTGAGTTGATTTTTTTGTACAAAGTGAGAAGTTCAGATCAAGTTGGTTTGTTTCTTTCCTTCCCTCTCCTCCCCTCTCTTTTTTCTTTTTCTTTCTCTTCTTTTCTTTCTGCATACAGATCCTCATCACCTTTGTTGACGGTCGTGCCCTCACTGTGTTGCCTTTGCCCCTTGGTCCGGGCAGCTGGCCACATTGATGGGCTGTCTCTGGACTCTGTTGCTTTCTACTGATTTGTATGTTGGTACTCTCACAGGTACCAAGCACTGTCTTGGTAAGCAACCTAAAGCCTTAAAATTAGATAGCGTAATTCCTCCAATATTATTTTACTTTTTAAAATAGTGTTTTCTACTCTAGTTCTTTTGTCCTTCCTTATTAACTTCAGAGTAAGCTTGTCTTGGGATTTTTGGTAGCGTCGCATTGCATCTATAGACCAGTGTGGGGAGAAGGAATGTCCTTTACCCACGTTGAGTGTTCCAGTGTGTGAATACCGATCCTCATTTTCTGATTTTCTCTGATTTCATTCATCAAGTTTTGTCAGTTTGGGGGATTATTTATTTAAGTTAGCATATAGCTCCTCTATATGTTTTAGATTTCTCTTTAAGTATTTCAGTTTCACAGAGCTGTTTTCAATGATATGATTTAAAAATTTTTGCAGTTTCAAATTACCAGCATTTAGAAATGTGGTTGTTGTTGCCTTTGTTATCATTTACCTTATGAGACTTACTAGTTCCAAGAGAAATGTATGTGTGTATTCCTTGAAATTATATGTATAAATAATCATATTATTAACAAATAGCAGTCATTTTTTCCCCTTACTTTTTTTCTTTGTCTTTTTGAGACGGGATCTTACCATGCAACTCAGGCTGGCGTTACGCTCCCTCTGTAGCCCAGGATGGTCTTGAACTTGCACCGATCTTCTGCTTCAGCCTCCCAAGTCAAGTGCTGAGATTACAGGCGTGTTTCCATTCCAGTCCTGGTGTTGAGTATATGTCAGTCTGGTGTTGAGTATATGTGTTTCATTAGTAAAACCATCTAGACCTGCAGATGTCTTTCTTTTCTTTACTTTTTTTTAAAGTTTTGTTTTGTAACTGCAGTGTATTTTGTAGAGAGGTATGGGGTCTCTTGTGGCTTCAGGGGGCTAGTGCGTTTAGTCTGAGCTGTTGGATATATGTTCAGGGAGCTTTGTGGGATCTGGAATGAGATGTTCTCACTATACCAGTGCAGAGAATTTGTGTCTTCTTCCTTGTTGTCTTTGACAGCCTTGCAAGGAAGACCAGTATTGTTTATGTTGATGGTACTAGTTTTATTTTTTTTTAATTTCAGTTCTTTATTTCATTCCTCTTCTTGCTTTGTGTTTACTTTTCTTGTTTTTCTGGTTTCTTAAGGTGGAAGTATAGATAATTTTAGAATTTTTTCTCATGTAAATGATTTCTAATACTATGAATTAACCTTTGGATACAACTTTAGCTGCACTCAGTACTTAGTGGGTTGAATTTGCCAGCGCAAAATCGGTGGATACAGGAAGTGAAACGTTTGACATGCATGTATTATGATTTGCGCATCGAAAGCCCACCAGATGTGACACTCCTTCCCTATAAACACTTGTTAAAGAATGCAAGAAGTTAAGGAAAAGCTGATATATTTGCTGAGATATATAGCATTCTGTTGCTTTTCCTGCATTCCTGATATTTCAGGTTTTCCTTCTATTATTAAATTGTTTTTCAGGAGTTTTCCTTTAGCAGTTCTTTCAAAGTAATTTGAATGTCATTCATTTGTTTTCCTTCATCTGCAAGTGTCTTTATTTCATTTTTACCTCAACATTTTTGATATAGAAATCTGGGTCAATAGTTATTTTCTTTCAATGTTTAGAACATATTTTCACTTCTACTGGCTTTCATGGTTTCTGAAAGTAAATCTACAGTCCTATAAAAATTGTTTCCCTAAAAGTAATGCTAAATTTTTCTGGTTGCTTTTAGGATTTTTCCTATCTTTTAAGTATATATTTCAAATATATATAATTTTGATTTGTTTGGGCATGTATTTCTTTGTATGTATGCTGTTTGGGGTTTGCTGAGCTTCTTAGATTTGTAAATTTATATTTTTCTGTAAAAGTAGGAAATTTGTAAGAAAAATTTTAATTTGCACTAAACTAAATTTATACATATTCTTTTTCTTTGCTGATATTTCAGTATAATAAATACATTTATTTCTTCATTTTCCCCTTTTTCTAAGTCTTCCTTTTCATTTGTTTGAAGGGTATTTTTTTTTTTTTTGCTTTTATTTGTGGAAGCATTCTACATTACTTTAATATCATTGTGGGATATTTTCCAGAATCGGTTTTTCTTGTTTCTGGCATTTTCCCCGTGTAGGTCGAGATGTTCCTCGTACCTTGTATACCTAGCACTTTTGCATTCTGTCCTGGGTATTTGGCTCTGTGTTATGAGACTTCGGGCATCACTTAAATCCCACATAGACTGTTGTCCTGTTCATTTCAGTAGGCCGTCAGCCCAGCTGTAAGTTCCTGTGGGCTTTGGCTGCATCAGCTGTTTCCAGGCCTCTGCTGTGCTGCTGGCTCTGTCCTGGGCAGGCTCTGCCCTGGGCAGGCGCTGTCCTCACCAGCCCGTTGCATAGCTCAGCTCCGGTCTCACAGCTTGTGTGCACATTCTTGGGCCAAGTGGGCGGGAGGCAACTTGGAGGACAGCTTGGAGGTGTTTGAGATGTTGCCCTCCCAGCTCCTGTCTGTGCTCTCCCAGTCACCTCCTCTTCTCTGGGCGGCCTCTGTGCCATTCTCTGACCAGAAGGATGGGACTCTTATTTGTCCCCATATAAAATGCACACGTGCTGCTGCGCCATCTCCTGGGTCAAATGGCTGGAGGACACAGAGCAAAAAAAAGCAGTAGAGATTTGCTCTTATGTTTTGGGGACCATAACTCCTCTTACCAGAGAGCAAAGTTCCTCTTCCTCAGTGTTCTGGCTCCAGCGTGGCCCCTGTGCCACAGCTGCCGGTGGTGGCTGAGCTGAGAAGAGCGAGGAAAAGTGGGAAATTTCCACCCTCCTGGGAGTGCGTGGAGACACCAGAAGGAACAGAAGGGCAACCCATGTGGCTTAGGGGGTGTTTCGGGTTCTGGGCTTCTTCCAGCCTGCTCGCTGCCTCGTTTTCAGAGCTGTACAGTGGCTATTATAAGCCTTCTAGCTGCATTCACTGAGAGTGGTACAGTGTGCTGCTCCATGCGATTTGCCGCTGGATCTTGACTTAAAGGCTTTTTTAAAATTTTGTTTCCCTAGGAATTTAACAAGAAACTGAAGTTTTGGTTCAAGTATATTTTGAATTGAAGCCAGAAATGTACTAGACTTTAGATTCTTTCATTTGATTAAGGTAAGATTATTTAATAAAATATAATCATATCCTTACATTTCCAAACTCACATTTTACTGTGTGCTTTATAAACAGATTTTAATTTACCACTCTAACTGGATATTCTGATGTAAGAGAGTATGTTCATGGTTCCTTTAGGGCTTAAATAGCTAATGTCTCCTGTCGAAACTCTGAGATGAAAGGGAAACATGACTCGCAGGTTATATATTAAATGATGTTATATATTAAAAAACCAAATCTGTTTGCCATAGCGAAGTTAGCAAACTGTGGCCCACAGCATGGCAACCTACGTAGGTAAATAAGGTTATATCTACTTCAACCCAGTCATTACTTTCCACCTGTCCTTCCACAGCACCATAGTGGCAGGGGTCATTCCTTGTGTGGCTCTCAAGCCTAAAATCTGGCTCTTTAGAAATTCTTTGACTCTTTTCCTAGGAGTCTAAATCCTAGGAGTCTCATCTGCTGTGCAATTAACAGTATGTGAAATGCTAGCTGATTTTAATTATCAAGAAGAGTTGTCATACAAAGCTAATCAGAAATTCAAGTACACATATGATATATCTACGCCAGGCTTAATATCCCAAAGTGAAAGATGTGTCTTGTTTCTTAGAAGCAATATCAGGTTTCAGAAATAATTGACCTTAAAAATAAAACTTAGTGTTATGAGCACTAACATGCTAAATGTTCATTTCTGAGTTGGCTTAGACTTCTAAAAAATAAAAATTTATTTGATAAAGGCTGTCTTATTCCTTTCCTTAAAAAGATATTCTCAGAATGTAGCTCTGTGAAGGCCCTAGGCTCAGTTGTCAATATAGTACAAAATAAATAAATAATTCCTAATCTAAATAAATAATAATCTCACAAATTAATTATATTTAATCTTTCCTAGTAAGTTTTCTCATGTCAATAAGCAGTTTATAGTATGAAATTTTAAAGGATATCATTCTAATATAAAACTACGTTTAGTGGTTAAAGTTGGAATTATGGTCTCTCAAATTTAAATTTAACCATGTATTTCTCTGTATCCTTGAGTTTTGCACTGGCAGATTGAACCAACCGTGAGTCAGCTACATTGGCCAGAATTTGTACTGGCTCAATTTCCTTGTGATTATTCCCCAAACAATACAGTATAATGACTCTTGACATCCCATTTACAATACAGTAGGGATCCCAAGTAACCGGGAGCTGACCTGACGTACATGGATGGGAGGGTGGGTGTGCATGGGCTGTGAACAAGCGCTGTGCCATTTCATAGAGGAGACTCGGCATCTGCAGATTCCAGAATCTCTTGGCTGAAGAAAACAGCATATTTTAAAGTGCCAGATAGATGAGCACTTCCAGCCTGTACCATGTAAAAGAATTTTTCTGGGAGGCTAGAGCAGAAGGAACACAAGAAAAATGAAGGAAGCTTTTCTGTTCTTCATTTTGTAAAAAAAATTTCCTTTGAAAAGCAGAGTTTTTATGTTGTGCCTAATCTGAAATGTTTGTTTTGTATTTAAATAATTTTATTGAGAAACAAATAGCAATGAGACAATTTCAAAACCGATTAGTAGGACCATTTCAATAATTAATACATTGCATATTGTTGTCTTCATAGTGGTTATTCATAGTACAAGAGGCAGACATGATATCCTGTCCACAAACACTATTCGTACAAATCTTTCTATTCATTGAATTAAGAGAAAGTAGCTGTATATCTGTCCTATTTTATATGTACAGATATAAAATGGTCCTTCATTTGTATCCCTTTTTTTTTTGTTTAATTTTGTCAGAGATGGGTATTCTGTTGCCATTTAAATATTGTAGGTGTGTGAATTCAGCAAAATATTCCAATATATTCCAGTATGAAATATGTTTGGTTCCTTTTTGTTTTCATTTGGTTTTTGGTACTGGGGAGCGAACTCAGGACCTTGCACTTGCCAGGCAGGCGCTTAAGCCACTGAGCTATCTCCCCAGCCCCTGTTTGGTTCCGTAATAGACTGATATGAAGTGTCTTTCTTTGCTTCTGTTCTTAGGAAGCAAATTTAAAACTCCCTCCCCCCATGTATTTAGTACAGGGTCTACAGGGTCCCCTTACACAGATCAGACTTGTAGTGATTCTCCTGTTTACAGCCTCCCAAGAGCTGGTGGCGTGGGCTACCATGCCTAGTCTCATTGGCCCATCTCAGCAGGGCAGGCCCAGGGATCGAACCCCTGGCCCCTGAGTCTGCCTAAGCAGACGCTTTAATCCGCTGAGCTATCTGGCTGGCCCTTAAAACTTTTTTGACCTTCAGTTTTTAAAGGGGGAAATCTGGCGCTGTATCTATAGGAAGCACTTTGTGTCTTTTTATACTATCACATATTTTATACTTAACTCACTGTGGATTTGGAATTTGGATGCGTATACATTTGATTATGAAAGATAATAAAGTTAGGTTGTGGAAGAAGGGATGGGAATCTCAGTATGCTGAGGAGGCCGTGTCAGCATTTTGTGTTTAGCTGTGGTCTAATCTGAGTTTAGAGAGTCCCTATCTGATTTATAGACTGAGAGTTATGAGTAAAATAATGTTTATTATAAATGTTATTTTAAAATGACATTAGAAGGTACAACTAAAGTCATGGCTTAAGACATTTTTGAAGAATTTCCTTGATTTATGTTTCAGTTCTTAAATGAAGGGAAAATAAACCAGAAAAGCTCGCCCTCTTTCTTCCCTATAACCTTAGGTTAATTAGGTGTTTCTGGGGTAATTATAAAACTTTTCATTTTAAAGATCAGATACTGACTTGTTGGAGGTTTGAATTATCATTAAAATTAAATTGGTGTGTGTTAAAGACAGGCAAAATTCTTCTCTAAATTAAAGGTACGTCTTGTCTTTTAGAAGGTGACTAGTATGAAAATAAGCCTCCAAGGTCACTCTGACAGGAGATAATGAAATGTCACTTCACCTCCCCTCTGTGGGGCTTTTGTCAGGCAGCTCTAACGCTGTTCAGATAATGTTCTTTGGACAGTCATTTTCTATCCTTAAAATAGTTCTGGAGAAATAAGTTTACTCACAAAGTTTTCTATCAAGGAAGGAGTACACGCATTCAGAAGAGAAGGGTAAAAGCTGTGGGGCTTTTAGGGTTTTTTTTTTAAGAGACTACAAAATGGTAAAATAAAATTAGAAATGATACAGAATTTCACTAAATAAAATAATAGAAATTTGACAGTGTTTGTTGTATTGCATAATGTTATCTTCAAATTAGTTGTTTGTCAGATATAAAAATTCAAAATTGGTTTTTAAAAAAAGCTATATGATATTAAAAGAAGAAAAAAAAAAGCATTAGCTGCTCCTTTCAATAGACTATCAGAAATCAGCAGTATAATTATGCAAGCTATCCTGTATATATGCATAAACAAACATACCAGGAGAGAAAGTAAGGAAACCGTGCCTTTCACAGTAGCATCCCCCAAAAAGAAATATTTGTAGGGAGCCAATCTCACAAAGGAAGTAAAAGATTTATACAGTGAAAATCATGGTACTCTGAGAAAAGATACTGAAGGGGATTTCAGAAGATGGCAAGATATTCCCTGCTCCTGGATAAAAAGAGCCAACGTTGTACAAATGGCCATACTCCCAAAATTGTTACATAGATTCGATATAATCCCGTGTAAAATACCATTAGCATAGCTCACAGATCTAGAGAAGAAATTCCTAAAATTATACCTGTCAGAAGAGTACTAGAATATCAAAAGCAGTCCTGAACAACAAAGGAAAAGCAGGAGGCGGCACAATCCCTGACTGGGAATTATTCTACACAGCCACTGTGATAAAATCAGCATGGGGGGCCAGGGAGATGGCTCAGTGGGATAAGTGCTTCCCTGGCAAGCGCAAGGACCTGAGTTCAATCCCCGGTTTAGAAAAAAAAAAGCATGGTACGGGTAAAAGGCTGTGGTCTTTTTAAAGCGTTTTTCTTAGAAAAAGTTTTTGTTTTTAGATAATTTTAGATGTACTGTAAGTTATAGCATAGTTTTTGTGTGCTTTTCACTCAGCTAGCCTTAGTTGTAACACCTTACACAACCCTGCCACAGAGATCAGAACTAGAGCATCGGTACTGAGTCGCTGCAGACGCGGTTTCTCCACTAGGTCCTTTGCCTGAGTCCTGTGGTAGGTTTAGTTTTATCTGCTTTATTCCAGTCTCTAGCAGCTCCACAGTCTTTTCTTGTCATTTCTGACTTTCACACTTCGGTTACTTTGAGACTGTCACTCAGTTGGGGCTTCTCTATTGTTTTTGCCTCATAGGGTCAAGTTAGAGATTTTAGAAAAAAGTATCTCAGTGGTCACGTGTGTTTTCTAGCTGTCAGGGACTGTGTGACATCTACGTGTGCTGTTACCAGTGATGCAAAATTATGATGGTGTCTGCCTCGATTTTCCATTCTCAAGTTAATATAAGATAATATAATATCACAATTCTCTTAGGAGAAGACATTCTGAGGCTCCACAAATACTGTTTTTCCTTACTATTTCTGCCACTAAGTTTAGCATTTATTGGTGGGGCTTGCCTGCAGCAGCTGTTATATGGGTGTTCTTCCTATTCTTCACATTCTTTCTTCCTTCCTTTATCAATTATAATTCTACAAGAAATAGGAGTCCTTCACATTTATTTAATTGCTTATTTATATCACAGTGAATTCATAAATACTCTCTGGATTAGAACCAGTGCTGTTATCTGTTATTCAGGCTGTTGCAGACACTGGAAACACGTTGAAGGTTGCTGCTGTGTGTCCTTTCAACATGTCTTATCTTTTTTTAAAAAGCGATTTTGAGCTCTCCGGGGTGCCCCGGGCTCCTGTGTGTTTTCCCTGCTCAGCCGGCCGGTGCCAGCTGCCCTTCTGGGACACCCAGGTCCACCTTCCTGGAGAGCAGCAGTTACAAGCCAGCAGCTGCTCGCAGGCTGCCGGGACGCTCCTGCTCTCCAACCTGTAGCCATGAGAACTAGTAAATGTCCTGTGCACTAGTCTGCGGGACACGCTCTGTTAC